ATCACTGCTGTTTATCATAGAGTACCGCTCAAATCAATAAAAAACAAGGCTTGTTTTTCGAAGGGTTTAACTCAATTAGGGTTCAAAAAGAAAACAAACGGAAGTTAGGAGATTGTGAACGATGATCAATATAGCTCTAACTTTATTTGATGCACGAGAGAAGGATTAAGAGGGAGATTAATAATTTAAATAGAGGTTAGAACACGGTATTATGATGATTATTTTAATTTTTGCACTAAATATTTAATGTAGATATTTATCGTAATAACTATAATGTTACCGGAAATGTATCTCTAATCATAATTTAAAATTTCGATTACGAAATTTTGATGAGATTGAGAGGTGAGGGAAATGATGTTCTGCGAGCAAAATTTACTTTCTAGGATTTGCCATGCTTAATTTGTACTCAATGAAAATCAAATTCCTTCACTTGCGCATGCACCTGGAAATATTCTCCTCAAAAGAAAAAAGGAATGAACCCTACTAACAAAACAACTCCTTTCCATGCTACCTTCTTCTTCTTTTTTCTTAGAATTTATATTATATTATTATTATTATTATTATAAAACACCGCCACCTTTCTATGTCCTGTTTGCATTGGATTAATCAAGACAATATGATAGTTGGCTTCTACGTACATATCCGTATAAACAAATCTAATGAATTCTATATGTAAAAGAGCAAAGAGAGTAAGATGGTTTTGAGGATCATACATCGATCGGGGTTTATCCGTACATTATGATGTTCATAATTATTTACAGAGAAACTCATCAATACATATACTGATCTATGTTAAAATGTTGAGTTCAGTATAGATAGACACGTATAATCTCATATATCGGGGCTAAAAGTGGCACCGACGGCAGGCGCGCAGCGAATAGTAAAAGGGCAAAGATTTGGCCTTGCATTGCCGACAACCCAAAGCGGAGACACCAGCGCTAAAGGAGACCTGCACCAGGGAACACACTCCTTGGATTTTGCTTTCTTTTCTTTTTCCTTTCTTTCAAAGAGGGATAGTCAGGCCACTATTTCATCTTCTTCTTCGCCTTGAAGATTTTGGGAACTGTTTAAAAAAGCAACATTTTCTAATATTTAAAAAATAAAGCTTCTTCTTCTCACAAACTCATGATTATGGGCGTGCCACTGACCAATTACAGATTTTCCCACGCCTTCAACCATTTCATTCGCTCATCACCAGTTCCTAGGACCCATTTTTTATTATTTAATCTCATTTTCTTTTCCTCAAGAAATGGAGGATAGGTCAAAAGGTATAGTATATCACAACATTTAGCCATTTCCCCCCCTTTACGTTGTCATTTTTATTATGATTTTGACCCAGCACATGCCTTTAATTGTGTGACAAGAGTTACGGTTTCAAGTGAAGGAATAAATATATATTAATGAAAATGTGTACAGATTCTCCAAAAACGAAGAGTGGGAACATCGATATCCATTATCCAAGGTTGGGTTGTTTGATAATTCAAAGTGTTGATTAAAGGGGTGGGACAAAGAGACACCCGTGTTTCTTACTGATCATGCCGTGCATAGATTTCTTCAAGTCGTATGGGAATGGTCCATGATCATCGTTGTCGGCTTTTATTCTTTTTTATCACCAAAAGCCAACAATCTTTTTTAGCATTTCTCCAATGAAAGAGAGTTGTTGAATGACTTTTGATTTTTAAGTTTGATTTGCTTGAGTTAAAATAAAATCTAAAATCCAAAGTGCAAAAACATCACTTTTTTCAGTCTTTTAAGATATAAAATGTTAAGTTTTATCCTATTTCAAAAATATTACATCTAACATTATAAATACAGTAAAATGTGATTTCTCAGTCTTAATATCTGAGCTAATCATCAAACTAAATCGGCCTAACGCCAAGATCAATGGCAATTATGCACCGTAACACTAAAGAAGCTGTTGAACTTTTTTTTCTTCTGAGTTTCTGGTAGGAAGGACCAAGAAAGTGCATTTGAGAGCACTGAAGCAAGATTTAAGCTTTTAACAAAACCGTGGGTGGGGGTGTATGTTTAAATCATTCAAGGCAAGTAGGCCAAACTCGGTTGTCATTTTGTGGAGACAAGATAGACACACCACTCTCTTCAGGATCTCGAGTTTACTAGTAATCAAGTTGACAACTGTGTGTCCACACCACACATGGGAGAGAGCAGAGGTTACCTCCTATAATCTATCCCCCCCCCCCCAAAAAAAAAAAACAAACAAAAAAAAGTGTTCCGCGATAAGTGGTTAATAGAAACCTTTTGCTTTTGTAAAAGATTCAGGCACAAATGGATACAATTTCACCTTTTAAGCGGACTTTCTTAAAGGGGCATTAGATTATTTAGTATTTACCTCCGGTATGAGGTTCTCAAGGGCCAACTACATTCATCTGAAAGCAAGAAACTGGCAAGTATGCGGCAAACGTATACCAGGTTAACCGAGGCTTTCATATCACAGACCTTCTAAAAAATCTCTTTGACACTTGAGCCCATACACCAAATCAAATGGAAGCCCACGATGCAGGAGCCAACCCAGTCCAATAGCAAAATCAAGACTGCTAGACAAGCAAGATTGGTTATCAGAAATCGACTGCACTAGCAAAAACCAATAAAATAGTATAGCTGTGAATCGAGCGGAAGTGTTAATAGAAAGATTTGCAAATTAGCTAGCAAAGACTGCACTTCCTTTCTGAGCAACATCACGAGTAAAAGAAATGGATACTTGGAACGAAAGAGATTAGTTTGTAAAAAGAAAGCACCTGGAACCTACTAAAATATAAATTCGATCCAATTCATTATCATTTCTAAGTTTAACGTTTAAATCATAAATTTGGATGTATATTAATAAAAATGCTATACTCATGTATGTATAATTTTTTTGTCTTAAAGGTCGCCGATGTTTCTATAGTAGATCAAATTTATCAATTTCGCTCATATCATATTTTTTCATTAATTTTACCACCAAAGTTGTTTAATTGCATTAATTTGTACATTTGACTATCTTGACTAACAAAACTGTTAGTTTATGCTGATTTGGACACCAATTGTTTCCACCTAGGATAATTTTATTGATGTGTTAACCGGATGATGTGGCACTAACAAAAAAAAATTAAGTAAACAATTACACCCAATGAAAAAATAAACTTCTTCCTAATCCATCAATCACAATGGTCATAGAATAAACCAAGATTGAAACCAAGCTTTCATCCTTAATTTCATGGCAGTTCCTGGTAATCAATAGCAACGATTTCAACAACAAAAATCGTAGGAATATTGGGAAAATCCCTTTCCAGTTCATCAAAAAACTCTAAACCAATAGCATAAATTACTGAAATCCTCATAAAATCAGGCCTTCAACCCTTTAAAATCAATCAATCTTTGATTTCCAATATCAACTCAAACACAATCAACCTTATTCTTTCAAATCCAAATCTCCCCCTTCATTCGTGTACCCAATTCTTCAGTTTTTATATCAGAAATCCTAAATTGAAGCAACGGAAGATAGCAATGTAATAACATGGTAGAATTGTTGATATTCATGTTACCTACACTAATGGGTAGCAAGAAATCTCCATCACAATAAATCTTAAGAAAAATAGTTGGACTGGGAAATCGACTAGGAAAGATTTCCCGATTGAAGCAATTTTAGGCCTTGACATGGGATGTTGTCTCCTAGACAACTGTCATTTTATTTCTTCTTTAAATCCTTGCCTTAATACCAGGTAGTGTGAAACAATTTATGTTCATCACATAACTTCAAATTTTCTTCACCCAATTCAAGGAAAAACGTTTTTTTTTTAAGTCAGACTTGACACGAGAATAGAAGCTTCAAGAAACTGATGATATGGGTCGTCCTCGTTGCTAAATTGGGACCCAAACTACCATGGATCGATTGGCAATCCTCCCGGCAGCAGTTGGTATGAATGTTACTAAAATGAAATTCATCGTATTGCTAGTTTTTGTTGTGAAAAATGAAACTATATATTAATTACATATGTTGACAACATTTTTTAATAGTATTCATTAACATGATAATGAAGTTGGTTCGGTAAAGCTCTTCTAAGGGCTGTATTTGAAGTTGAACCTTTTAGTATTCATTAACACAACAACATAATTGATGTGTATTTAATTTTTCACAATGTCTTTATTGTAATTTCTGCTATGTGTTTGTGTTGATCGTGAAATCTAATGCGAATACAGCTTTCATTATCATTATTTGTCAAGCAAAATTTAAATGTAGGAAAAATATTTCTGAAAACATATTGCATTGATAGACGAGTTTGCATGTTCAGCACCACTAACGATGAATATTGTTGTAACCATTAATTTAATATATAAAAATTTAAAATTCTATAAAACTCAACATATAATTATAAATTAATTAAAATTTTAAAGATAAATATTAAAAAATAATTTAATTAATATTTTATTTTTAAATAATTTACATTCAAAATTTTAATTAGTTTGAAATTATATGTTGAGTGTTTTAAAATTTTAAATTTTTATAAATTAAATTAATGATGTTAAATGATATTCATTATTAATGATTCGTAAAATGTTAATAGAATTTTCCCTTCATTGATACGCAAAATTCCAAGTTGGCATGGCATGGTAAATTCAAAGCAGAAAACTTGGAATAGCCGATCGGTTTTAAGATAACACCTGTTGGATAAATAGTTCAAATTTCGACGTAAAAAACGCTCCTGGGCAGTTAACATTGGTTAAGATGAACTTGGAGAAGTAAAAAGATTAGGCAATCAAGATAGGGTTAGGTCGTTTTGCCGGTACCGATGTGTCGTTTAGTAGTAAAAAACTTTAGATTTCACAAAAGCTGGGCGGTGGGGCTGCCACTTGACACAGATCATTCCAAAAAGAGAAAGAAGAAATGAGAAGAAGAACCATATATGATAGCGGTTTCTTCTTTATCTTGATTATTCTTTTCGTGAAACACATCAGCCATAACTCGCAACAAGAGTCGGGGTTTTTTTTTTTTTGCAGAAATAGAATGAATCAAACGTTTTATTGAAAACGAACAAAACTATCACTCCAACATCAGTAGAACTTAAACAATCAAAACGAATCGAAAGAGTCTCTCTTATACGCTACAAAGTCTGGACTCTGAACTCATAACATAGAAAAGAAAACAAGCAAAAGGGTTGAACATAGATTAGCAGAGCGAAACTAAGGCAAGGGACACGATGGCAACAGAGACGGCGGCAACAAGTGATGAAGCTGAGCTAGAGGAACCACCGTTGGGGGTTGAACCAGGTGTCGAAGTAGTCCTGGGGCCACTTCGGACATTCACACTTAGCTTTTGTCCGCCGGTGCAGTGACCTAGGACAGTGCAAATAAAGTGGTACTCTCCGGTCCTGTTAAGGGTAATGCTTGCTGGACCGTTTCTGTGCATAGAGATGGGATTGGTACCGTTGCATCTGTCGTAAGCAGCTTCAGTCACCTCGGCAACGTTATGTGCGTCTGTAGCAAAGTTGAACTCTGCAAAAACAATTTGAAACATTCTTCGTCACAAAAGAAAAAAAAAATCAAAGAGAAACGTAACGGAGGTTGATATTGATATAAGAAAGTCACCAAGGATATCCCCAACGAAGAAGTTCTTCTTGTCGGCCCATTCATCATAAAAGTCACTATTACCGCCACCGGGAGGGACTGTCCAGCCGGTGGTGTCTCCCACGGTGTAATTTGCAGCATCTGTGCTCTGCAACACAGTTGATGCCAAAACAACAACAGCAACAAGTGCTGCTGCCATGCTCGTGATTTTCATCTCCATTTTTTCTTCTCTCCCTGGATATAAATTTAATGTGTTATCTTCTTAATTAAAGACAGTCGCCCCTTTGATCTTTAGCTCTCTGCTTTTCTAATGTGGATATGTTTATCCTTCCTCCCTCTGATTATAGTTTATATAGAGAGTGGTGGAGGCTGGGTTACACGTTTCATGGAAGTTGTTGAAGAAGATTTGGGCGTCGATTAATTAATAGCCATTTGTTTATGAGGAGCAGTTGGTGAATGCTATTCACACGCGGCACACTTGCTAAGCTCTTATTAAAAAAATAAAATACAAATTAAGCGGATAAAGAAACTATTATTATTATTTAGAAATTTTGGGTTCGAACATATATCAAGAGTATGAACGTTTAATATTAAATAGTTGAAAGTTATTTTTAAAAATATATTATTTTCTATTTATTTAAGATTAATAAAAAATTTAAATGAAAATAGAAAAAGTTTGCAAAAATCAACATTCACTCATCGCCACCGTCCGTTTTAATCTTTAATTTAGATTTTCAACACCATGGGATTGTGGTGGTGAACAATGTTGACTGCTGGAATTTTGATGCTTCTGTTCCATTAACTCAACAACGTAATATACGTGCTCTAAAATTAGGTATTATGAATTTGATTAAAATATTGATTTTCTATATTTCGTATTTTAACTACTAAATCTTATTGCTTTGCTCAAATCCAAATATATGATTTAAATTTACTTACAATTGGAATGAATACCGAATGATATATTTAAAAGTAATATAATATGTCCAGTACATATATACTTTGTATATATTTTTTTAATTTATTCAAATTTATGGTACAGCAAGACTTGGCACCACTAGAGTACGTCTCATGTGTAGGGATGGTACAGGTTGGGTTAGGTCGAATTTGATTTTCAGTCAACTCGACTCGAATTGAAAATATATACTCTCTACTCAAAATTTGATTCGATTCGAATTGGATTTAGGGGTACTTTCTGCCGATATGAACTCGACTCAATTTTTTAGATAAAATCCAAATTTGATCTTTTTAAAATAAATATGTTATTTTTATTCAATAAAAATAGAGATCTAATTGAAAAACAATAATATATAAAGAATTATTATATTTATTTTTAAATATATAAGGTAAATTTACATTATTTTTGGGTAGGATCGGATCGAGAATTTATCACCCTAAATCCGAATTGACCTAACCCGAACATATTTTTTAAAAGACCCTACCCATACTCAATTTTTTAAAAAAAATCTGATCCAATCAGATCGAATTAGAACCTGTCGAATTTGAGTATCGTGCCCATGCACTTGCAACATCTAAATCAGCTTAAAAAATTAAGAATTTATATTCGATTGGTATGATAATGATGTAGCAATCCGATTATTGGTTTGACATTTGAACGAACAACGTCAAATGTTTATACCTAATGTAGATATTGTATTAAAAATAATAATATTAATATTTCATATATTAATTAATAATTCAAATTTCATGTTTAATACTATATAATGTATGAATTCAAATTTTAATCCTGACTCAGAATATAGAACAATATAATTAAATTATATGATTTTAAATGATCAAATTTGAGAACATGAACTGAATCTACAACTAATGCATTATGGAGGGCCAATGAAAAATTTGAATTCAACAAATTCCACAGTTATGATCTGAATTAGGATTAAAATTTGAAATAACTGAATTAAACTATAAAGAGTAAATCCAGAATTTACAGATAGTACCGGCACTATCTATAGAATTTATCCTTTAGAAAACAAAAGCATGTAGGGATTTTCAGAATTTTCTGGGTCCACCCAATTGTTAATTACATTGCTTTGAAGAATTGGGGTTTTCAACTCTTTCTTCTTTGAGGAAGTCGGTAGACATACGTGGCATTGTCAGAAGTTTCTAGGCTTCTACTTGATCCTCTCATTTAGTTCAAGCAATTATTTGCTCATTTAAGCTGTGTTAGACAATATGAAACGAAAATGAGAGCTTTGAAATGAAATTAGAGTTTTTTTAGTTATTTGTTTATTTTTATTAAATGTATTCAACTTGAAATTTTATTGTGTTTATGTATAAATTTTTTTATTTATTAATTTATGTGTCCATCTTAAAAAAATAATTTTTTTATATGTGTTATGAGTTTTTCTTGCCCCATGGGCTATCATTAAATAGCCTTCTGAAATTGTGAACTCTTTCATGAGATCCAAATGAAAGCTTCGACGCTTCGTTGATCATATAACACAGTGGTTGCAGTTGTACGATTCATATACAAGGATAACCCTACAAGGCCTACAACACTCGTAAAACATGAAAAGAAAAAACAACCAAAATGAAGATTGTTATGGCAGATGAGAGATCCACTGCCATAGCCGAAGCACACCAATCTGGAGCACCTAATCATGGAACTTCTCAAAGCAACCACGCTATGGAGTTAAAATTACAAAAGGAAACACTTGAAGACTCTTAAATGAAAGATGTTTATGGACTGATCCGAACAACATAATTTCAAAGGGACTGAAGGAAAAAAAAGTCCTGCAAAAATTGAGATGGATAGGCCATCTGTCACACAGCCAAAAGTCCCCGGAAAAACACCAAGCCACAGAGCAACAGGCATGGCTACTTGGTCCAACCAAAAAAACTGTGCTGAATGTTGCTACATGTGTGAGTTGACTACATGAGTTCAATATTTCTACTGCCTTTAATGCCGTAAGTATAGTTGTTCGGATCTGGCTTAACAGCGCCTTCAACCCACGATCAGAAAAGGATATCACATCTCCACAAGCTCTCCATGAGCAGGTCAACGGTTTGAGTGCTGATTGAATTGCATTGCAGGAGATTCAGCCCCATCAGGGTCTTGCCCAATTTTTTCAGGAAGGTCAAGCTTTTGTTTGTTACTCCAGAACAACCCGAAAACGAAAGGACTTGCAGATGCAGTTGCTCTGCATGAGACAAGGCAGCAACACCAGCATCGGTGATTGCACACCTTGACACATCCAGGTCGCTTAGGAAAACACAATTGTCTGCAATTGCAACCAAACTTGCATCTGTAATCCTCCTGCAACCATCAAGATTGAGCATTTCGAGGGTTGCACCATGTATTTTCGTCAAGGCTAAAATGATCTCGTTGGTCAAATTTAAGCAGCCACTCAGATTCACCTTTAAAAGTCCTGCCTCACAATTCTGTAGAAGAGGCAGAAGACCTGCATCTGTGATGCCGCATAGCCCGCTCAGATCTATATACTGAAGTTGAGGGCACAATTTGCCTACCAAAGCCAGGCTGACAGTTCCAAATCCAGGACAGTTCCTTATAGACAATGATTTAAGGGAATTGCATGGGGAGGACAAAGGAGCTCCCAATGATATATCCTTAAAGCCCATGCACCTCACTATGGTAAGAGATTTTAATCCACAGTTTGAGAGAACACCGATAATTCCGGCTTGAGTGACCCTGTTGCACTCTTCCAATTGCAGGCACTCAAGAGAACCTGCAGACTTGGCAAAAGCCACCAATCCATCACCAGAAACAAAGAAACACCTACGAAGGCACATCTGCTTCAGGTTTATGCACACCTTTCCAATGGCTTCAAGACTAACATCAGTTACCCCACAGCAAGAAGTAATCATCAAAGAGACCAATTTTTGCAGGCCCTGAGCATTACCCATCACCCAAAATCCCTTCTCGGTCTCATTTTGTAGACCACTGAGAACTAAATTTGTCACAGACTTGCCGTAGTGTCCAATCACAGCAAGAGAAAAATCTGTGATGCTCAAACCCTGAAGCTTAACCTTTGAAAGGACAGAAGAAGATGATGACAGCAGGCTTGATACTCCATGATCGCCAACAAGTGGGCAGTCCTTGATAGAGATGGCATGCAGCTGGGGGCAGAGCTTTCCAATAGCATGGAGGCCCTCATTACCAATCTTTGGGCAAGATTCGATGCTCAGAGCAGTCAAATTAGGGCAGTTCTCTGCGATGGCAATTAGCCCCTTGTTTGAAACAGAAGGGCACTGGCAAAGGTCAAGCTTCTCCAACGAATGACATTCTTTAGCTATTTCAGACAGACCATCATCTCCAACATGCGGGACGTTCCACAAACAAAGTACCTTGAGAGAAGGGCAACCACGGGCTATAGCAGATAGCCCAAAATTAGTGACTCCACACGAAGAGCTGCTTCCCCTAATAGAAAGCTTTCCCAAACCACCATGACCGCTCGCTCCAACAGCAGCCGCAGCAAGCCTCATGTCAGTTGCTTTCTTTCCTTCTAAGCACCTTGAAAGATAACCATCAGCTTCCCCAGACGAGATAGTCTCAACATCATCAGAGCTTGAACTAATATTTTCCTTGACCACCTTGGATGACTCATATTCGCCCTTACGGATGCTGGTCATAAGCATAAGCCAGTGCTTTGAGGCACAAGCACAGGAGCTCCTTTCTCTGCCCCCAGGAATGCGCTTAAAGATCTCGAAAAGGCATTCATCAGGAAGAACATCGATTGATGGTTGCTTATTATGCTCGACCTCTGTTTCTCCAAAGAGAAACGGGGCACCAATACGAGCTCTTTTATGAGGAGGGTAGTACACGTCCAATTGGGAACTGATTGAACACAATCTACCCAAGTCACTGGACTTTGTATAAAAGGAACCCCCGGAGTAGAAATCATCATCATCTGAAATTCCAGCAAACATATCATCATCACACACCAACTCAAAGGATACTTCGAAATGAAAAATCCATGAGAAAATCAGACATATTCCTACAACAATATTTCCCCCCTTCCAAGAACAATCGTACAGCAGACTATTTGGTAAAAGCTTCCAACTTTTGATGCAAATATTCAAGGATCCAAACCTTACAATACATATTCATATAACTAACACTAGCTGAAACCAATATCAGAATCAGACCTCTATTGTGCTTAATATGATAGCATATAAAAAATAACCCGAATAAAGGATATTCATATCAACATAGATGATTATTACAACTTAGAAGCTATCTCCATATCATGCTTATATTTCAAAGTATATATAATCGATCTAATAAACATAAACATCTCTATAAACCCAAACCCAATCTTAACTAACAAAAAAGAAGAGGAAAAAAAAAAGCTTACCACCGTAATTAACAAGAGCAGGCATGGTTGAATCCCAAAGAATAAACCTTTCAGATAATCCTCCGACCCGAAAATAAAACACCCAAAAAGAGAAAACGCGAGAAGAACGCAGACCAAGTGTATCCCTTGAAAGCTTGAATGCATCAGAACTTGTTCCGACGTAAGAATACTTAAACGGGGAGAAAAAGGAATACGTAGAGGAAGAAGAAGGGAAATCTGTGTTAGCCGAAACAGAATACCATAGTTCTATATATTTGGTTTGGGAAAAGATAAAAACGAAAAATGCCGTGTTAAGAAATTTCTATCTGATTACTTATCTAAAATTCTTTGCTGCAGATACATTATCTGACAACTTATGCACTGCACATGCAATGAATCTTTCTTGGAGCCCGTTTTCTCTTTTATTTTCTCTCTCTTTCTCGCCGAGTCCAACCAAACACCCAGTTACGGCGGCCTACTTGCCATTGAAATCTATGCAGATACTACGTAATTATTTTGGGACTCTGCATGCCGACTTATTTTCCATTATGCTGATCTATATTAGGTATAAATTTTACTTCCAACGGCTTAAATTTAATTGATATTTAAGTAGATAAGATCGGTAATTTGTTTTATTGGTTAAATTAAATGAAATATTTATTAATGAAAAGAAAGGGAAAACGACGACTTGTTCGATGCTTCAAGAACAAGTTGTATAAGTGAGTGTTTTTCATTATCTTTGATTAATTTGTCAATGGTTTTATTCATCAACCACTTGACCAAAATAAAATGTCTCTTAAAAAATTATTCAACAATAAATAAAACTAAAAATAAATCACATTCATAATGAGTCAAATATCTATAATTATAAAAAATCAATAATATTTTTTAATTAAATTAAATTATATAATTATTATCCTAAAATGCTTAAAATAATATCAAAATTAAGGGGTAACAATTGATAATGCAAAAAGAAAGTTCATGTACCAGTACACAATTTATAACAACATTAGTGGAACTCTTTCAGAATTATTTTGGAAACTAATTTTCGTCCATTTTTACACTAATAATACTTTTAGTATTAAAAAAATAACACCCTTTTTCATCATGTGGTTATACTTTTTGTAAGGGTCATTTTATAGGGCACATTTTAACTGACTTGATAGGTGAAATTTCATAAGTGCGTCACGTCGTATGTAACTTTTGACATATTTTAAACAACCTATAAAATTGCACTTTCTAAATGATAATTGTGAGTAGATTTAGCAGCCGTTGAACCTCACATCACTTTAATTTTGAGAATAGAAAATAAATAAAACAACGAGTATGGGAAGTAAAGTGGCAAATGGGTTCCCAAATGCATGAACTTTTTAGGATCTCTTGTTATGTTAAAGACAAATGGAGAATTATGTGCAATGAATTTGATCACCTCTTTATTTTAAAAAATGGTTTTATGAGTTGATATTATGTAATGTAGGTCCAATATATAATATATGGCCGCTAACGCAGGTGAAATTTGACAAATTGAAAGAGTCAAGAGAATCATTGCATGAATTTCTAGCATTGGTTGGCTTCACTTTTTATTTGCAATCTTTTTCGAATATTAATCGAATTACAATGTATCTAGTATTTATCAATTAAATACTATCTTCATTTTTGGGTCATTCGGATAATGATATATACGTCAAACACTTAATATACAAACATATCTACTTTAATACTATTTATCTTGTTTAAGTTCAGGGTCTAGAATTTAAATTTTAAATAAATGTTGTAAATTTAGGGACAAAATAATGATTATGAATGAAAATTTAAAAAAAAAATCAACTATACAGTTTTTATCTAAGACAAAGCATAAAGGCAACAAGAGTCTTCAAATTTCTTTGTTTTGTTTTCTACGTGAAAACCTGGAAATGGATGATAAATATTGTTAGGGGTGTTTATCGAGCGAGTTGGACATTGTTCTACTCGTGTTCGTTAAAAAATTTCATTGATTCGTTGTTCGTTAAGAAAGTTTGTTGCTCGTTAAGCAGTTTAATAAAATTATCCACGGGCTGTATGATTTTGTTGTTGACAGCATAGCAAGTGATCAGTATAGTTTGGCTTATCTGAATGCGAACCATTGGCATTTCATTCTATCCCCTAACGGATCAGCTCAATCATTTTTTTCCCAACGAATCAATCGTGGAGGTCGCCAATTAATTCCAATAATTTCCTATACAGTAAATATTGTTATACATCTTTACATGTTTTACTATAGAGTGGTATTAGATTCGAGTCTTTCGATTATATATTTTAAGATTTTTAAATAAATTTAAATGTTGATGATATGTGTTATATTTTGATCAATAGAATTATTTTAATTTAATATAAAAATTATTTAAAGAAATTTAAAAATAAATAGTAGCATTTTATTAAGTCATTTTTTCACATTAAGATATGTCATGTTAGTATTTCGGTCCAACCATGCATGTGTAGTCTTCTTTAAAAACTGAACCTTTGTTGACTAACGATAAGAGATTATTTCGTCCTAAATTAAAATATTGAAAGTTATTTTTTTAAATAATATTATCAAAATAACAATTTAATGAAATGTTGGAAATACCTTTTTAGCAATATACCAATAATATAAAAAGAACACTTTTTTTATGTGCATCAAGTGGATTTATATTCTTGCATAAAAGATTTATTTATATCATTTTAATGAATAACAGGGATAGATTGTATTATACAATCCTTTAGATATAATGGAATCTCTAGAGTTTTAATCTAGATTAAATAATTAATAATTACACGAAAAGTTATATATAATATAATAAAATAAGCAAACCCTTTTCATATACATCAAGTTGAATGAGTTTAATAGAAATCTTTGGGGGAGGGGTTCTGTTTAATGTAAGAAAATGTCATTTGAGGGAGAAATGTTTACAATTGGGAGGAAACGACATTTCTTGGTTTGGTACTAAGAATTCAACCCAATATTCAAGATCCAATCTTTTTATTTGTTTTAGTGGACAAAAGGCAAGTCTGAGACTTTAGTTAGTTGCCAAGTGGGGAAGAATTGTGTGGATTCAAGTTGCTACTTTTGGTTCGCTTTAGCTCAAGATTGGATTTTTAGGTTAAAAAAGTTTCCAATTATTTTACGATCAATTCAATGACTACTCTGTCATGCACCTCTATAATGACCAGTTGCAAAAGGGGATAAAAAATAATTTTATTATTTAATTAAATATTAAAATTTAATTTTAAAGTTTTAATTTGGTGTTTGAACTCCATTTATAGTTCAAATAAGTTATTGACCGTAAGTATTATTTTAGATCAAAAAGTGAAGTTTGAGTACTAATTTGAACCACTAAGTTTGTTCAAGCACTTAATCGGACTCTAAAAAACTTTAGATATCATATTAAACCTTAAAACTAAGCTTATGTATCAAATTGTACATTGAAACTAAGTTTAGGTACCAAAATATATATTTACCCTTTTTATGTTTGTAAATATTATTTTGCCTTAATGTTTAAACTAATGCAAAAAGTATTAAAAACGGCAAAACCGAAGAATACATAAGTTGATTAATTCATGTGAATGAGATCATAAGTTGATTCATTTTATGATCTCATTGCATGCAGTTGTGTTGTATGTACCCATAGGCAATAGTTTTTTCGTAAGAAGATGGGTTATCCGTCGTTGACGGTCAGGAATGGACCGAGAGATACAACCGCATCTGACATACCTTGAAATTTTATAGTTTTACACCCTCTAAATTTCTAATATAACTTTCCAAATTCACACAACTGACATAAAATTCTACGGCTCACGTGCGGGATGTACCATGTAGTGCACAAAATACTTATATATGATATATCAAATTATACAAATGAAATCGAAGCTTCCATTTTGATCATTTTGTTTATTCCTTTCCCCACATCTATATACAGCTTCCCCTACATGTTCAGAATTACAAAGATGGACAGTTTAAATAAGTAAAAACTAAACTCATTTTTCTTTCTCTATACTTACTTCAATCGTACAATCCCTCCTGCTCCCATGCTTCAACCAAAAAATCAATCATTTTCTGCAAAATCAAGCCATTGTTAGAAGTCGGCAAAAGCAATGCAGGCCATGAAAAGCTTACTTACAAGCCAGCAACATGGGGAGCAGACTTACAGAAAGAAGAATTGGCTGAGGGAATGGATTCCTGGTCCCAAGTAAACTTTCATAAGATGCATTCAAACTGTAACATGGCAAAATTAAGATTAGTAGGACGGATACAAACTACTAAAAGATTACTTTATCATGTTCGATCCACAGTCCGGTTAACGTTTATTCATAGCTCAATACGTTTACTCTTCACCTCATTTGTTCATAACAATCTTTACTAACCAGAATTACATACACTAAAATTCATTACCGCTAAAAAGTGCGTGTGTGTATGTCACATAAAGACAAAACAAACTTTGACCGTACAGATATATTGATTATTAAAGTAAAATGTAGAATGAAAACAGAGTGAAGTATCGGGATTGGGAAAGAAGCTATCATGCCCTATATATGCCGGCTAGCTTCTCTCTGGGTTACCATATTTTAAGACTTCATGCCATAATTAAATGACATGCTAATTTATGGTACTCTTAAGGAGTAAAACTTGATCCTCTATTTGTCCAACGAACATAATCTGCAAATTTCAGCTAGATTCAATGCACTTTTGTTTTCAGCGAATGGTCCAGCCTTTCAATGCCAATCAAAGAATAGGATTAGCTAAGCAAGATTTGATTTTCATTTCAACAGCATCTTCTTAGTTACTGAATGTCACTAAATTGAGATGAAGAAAAAACTGCTGTTAGTATAGGAAAACTGTGTATTAAACTGACATCTACTTAAACAGCAGGACAGCACTTTGCTCTGAAAATTTCGTGGATGACTATTTTCGACTAGAAACTCAGAATCTCAAGATGATGATGATGAGTGGCACACCTTAATCTAGGCTCTCGGCTTCGTTGAGTATGATTCCTATGCCTACCACTTCCAATCCATTGGAGTCTGGCCTGATTCCAGATAATAAGGCCTGCAATGAGCACAAAGATAATGACACATTTTAATTATGAGGATCTCGAAGTTGACAATATCATGCATCAAATTTCAATCCTTGGTTCATATATCCTGTAGACTTGGAAAAAGAATAATAATCAAAACTTGCCCTGATTCGCAAAATCAGATGAGTTGACCATGCCACCACTGCTACTGCATTGACTTAGAATTTGGTCTGATGCACTGATCGACAACAAGCTCCTTTGAGATTGGAGAGCACTGTTTTCCAATTCATATGTACTGCTGCTCCAAAAATCATCAGAAATGCTAGGCTTCCTCACTATACGCCCTCGAATTCTCAATCCTTTTGATGGCTGATCCACCGCAATAATTGGTGTTGGTTTAGAGCAGCATCCAAAACAACCACTGCTCTGTTGAAAACCAAGTTAAAACAATACACATATAAAACATCTATCGAAAAGATACTTCAGAACA